GGCTGCGAGGCCGGAGGGACGGAATGGAGCGCGGTGTACTGCGGGGCCCAGAACTTGGTCTTAAGGCGCACCGCCTTGCGCGTTCCCTAGCGTGCCCGGGACCACCGGAGAGCTGGGCACGACGGCGCTTCTCCCGCAGCGATGGGACTTGGGCAGCTGCACGAGTGTTTGCAAGCACAGCAGCACCAAATACGGTGTTTTTACACTTGATCGATTGACTTAGGGCTCCTGTTGCCTTTTCAAACGGATCTCCTAAGTCCTCTGACCCACAGCCACAGAGCCCCCATGGGTGGGATGTGCACGGGGCCTCAATTGAGGGAATGGTATTTCCCTACCCCTCTCGAGGAAGGCATCACTTCAGTGGCATAACCTTTCCACAAACAGCAGCTCTGCCCAGCTGCCCCGCACTGCCTCTCTGCAAATAGGTGCTAGCACCAGCTCCTTCCCCACCTCAGCTTTGGGAGTGCACTTATGACGGACTTTTAAATTTTTTTTTTCTTCATTTGTCACCTCTGCCCAGCAAGAATTCTACTGTATATGTGGCAATGGCTATACTCATGCTGTATTTCAAATCTGATCTGTTCCTTTTTCCATTCCCCACCTGGGGTGGCTTGGTATGCAGTTTTAGAATCTTTGAATAAAAGTACTTTTACCTATAATGGTAGGAATGTGTAAGTATTTTATTTAACTCACTACCTCAGATGTGCTTTCAGCTTTTCTACACTGGAGGTGGAAGCCCAGCAGTTCTCCCAGGGGCATTCTGGAAGGCAGACTGCTGCCTCTGCTGCTCTTCTCCACCTCCTGCCTGGTTACTGCACCTGCATCACAGCTCAGCTACAAGGAAAAAAAAAACCTAAAAAATATCCTACCCATTAGAAATCTCTCTGAAAGAAATCCATGGTTTTCTGCTTCCTGTATTGTTGCAAGCTTCAGCCACATCATTCTTAAAAGCCACCTGTGTTCCTTTAGATTTAATTGCCAAACAAATCAGCATTCATTAGCTGAACTTGCATGCACTTCAGCGTCCTGGCCATGTTTGTGTTCTAAAGAGCTGTGATCTAGCTGACACTGGAAAACGAATTCCAGAGTGGTGCAGCATGAACACATATGAAACAGCACTCTTAACCAGGGCAGCTAGTAGCTGCACACAAATACGAATGAGGAACTTCAAAGAAACATGTTTTGCTCTCTTCGTGTTGTATTTTGAAGTAAGTGTTTTGTGGCACTGAGTGCAAATCTGCATCAGCTGTCACTCCATTCCTTTGGTGTGCAGAGCAAATATCTGGTATCATACAGGAAAGAATGCTTTTTCTGAAGCATGCCCATGGAAATTCTTGCCGGATGAATCCAAATGCCTTCCAGTCCAGTTCTCTGCAAGAACTGACATCTAGTGCCAATGTATACAATTCCACCTTTTCCCAGTAGCCAGTGGTGGTTTTTTCCACATTGGCACTTCATCCTATGCGGAGAAGGGCTGAAGTATGTCATTTAAATCACCTTATTGTTTATGGGGTACAGATTTAGCTCACAACTGGATTTCTTTTTCCTGCATATGATGGCTAGAGGATGCTCCCTTGAGCTTTTTTCCTCCTGTTCTCAAAGAGTGCCCAAAAATTAATGTAAAGAGCATTACTGAAGAGACTCCTTTCATGTCTGCATCTACATGAAGAATCACACATTAAGAGCTGTGAAAGGTGACCCCATCTACTGCAGGATCAATCAAAATCCATAGCTGCTTCACCAATATATTTACTAGGTGTACTTTATCTAATCAGGAAAGCCTGCTACATTCTTTACCACATCAAGCAGACTGTGACAGAGCTAGGGCTCCTGTACCCCTTGTGCAGCCACCTCTGTCCTGTCCCGCAGCCAGCACGAAAGTGCCTCTCTCCTGTCCCTGATTGACCCTTGCCAAGTCCTTTCACTTCCATAATAAAGTAAGAAACAACTTTTTGTCCCTAGGTATTAGGGAGCAGTTACAATAAATTAAACAGCAGATAACAGATGTTGAAGAGATGTTGAAAGTCAAGAGGATCTCAACATCAGACTCAAAACACATGAAAAGCAGGCATTCAGTAGAAGGAGGTAAGAGGGTATTTTGGGGTATTTACCTGCAAGTTTATTAATCATTGAACTGGCTTTTGACTTGCTAAAAACACAAAGTAAAGAATGTCTCATAGCTATGTCATGGTGCTACTAAATTAAACCAACAAATAAGGTAACTGATCGGGGGTAGGGGGGGTTAGAAAAAGTGGCATAAATTTGCAGTTAGGGAATATCCAAAAACTTGAAGCCAAAGCCACTGCCAACAGCAGGCACGCCCTGCTAGGAGCACAGCTGTGGTTGAATTGGACCAGAAGCATGCTGTGGTCCAGTGCTGGAGGACATCCTCTGTATAAGCTAAAGAAAAGTTAAACATTGTTTAAATATCAAAGAGTAAAAATAGTAAAATCATTTTTCAAAGGAAAGCATTCTTTAAAAAAATAAATTAGAGGTAAATCTAAAGTGTTTTTTAGAACTATGACAATTTGAAGATGGCACCAAAAAAGTACAGGAAGCATACTGTGCCTGCAGGTGTTATTTAAAAGCATGAACAAGTTCTCGGTCAAGGGGAAAAAAAAGAAGAATGAACGAACGTTACTTTTTGATCTTGACTCCTCCCACAACAAGGCTGATGGCTGGCTGACTGCCATCAAAGGCTGGTAAGGTAAAACCGTGCTACTACCTGCTGCAATACAGCAAAATGATATGAAGTTGGGGGTAGTAACCACAGCAAAACAAAACAAAAAACCACACCCAAACCAAACCTGCACTCTGTGGGAGAACTGAAGGAACGCTGTACTGATTTGATTCTGTAAGGTTAAGCAACATATAGTTAAGATGCCCCCTTCTGATGAAAGGCTGTTAAAGCTTCAACAAGATGGATTTAATGTTCTCACATAAAGCAAGGAAGAAGCAGGACAGTTTTGTGCTACATGAAGTAGCTCTCAGCACAGGTACATTTTATTTGAAACCATGCTGTGCCAGCATTCTGCCCTACACAGGGGGTACACCTGCTCACAGCACCATCAGTTCACCCAACAGCTCCTCGCACCAAAAGGGACCTTTCCTTGTGCATCCCTCCCTGCTCCTGCCTGGGCTGTCCAACAGCGCATCCTCTGCGGGCTCCACCACATGCACTCAGCTCCCTGGGGGAGCTTGCAGCCTGGGCTCATTCCCCCCCCCCCCCCCCAAACAGCTGAAGCTTTATTGATTTTAAGGCAGGATCTGGGGAAATTCCAATATGGTTGCAACACAACAGCAACAGCATCTAACACAGTTAGATCTAACATCTTAACACAGTTAACATGCAACAAGATTGCTTTGTGCACCTTAGTTAAACAGGCTGGGGTTTTTAGTGTGTGGTTTTGGGGTTTTTTGTTGTTGTTTTTCAATGCAGGAGTGCACGTGCAAACTCTTAGCTGCAGAACAGATGAAAATGTAATTATTGACTTTTTTTTTTAAGGTAACAGAAGCAGCACTAGGCTACTAGCTTTCCAACCGGAAATACAGATTAAGACTGCAACTCCAGTTTTTTTCTTGCTGCTCTCTCTCTACATTACCACCTGTCTCTTGAAAGTACATTTTTAACAATATTGAGGACATGGCTAAGATTCAAAAACTACCCCACTTACATTGCAAGTTGTCACTCAAAGCAAGAGCTACAGAAACATCCTTTCATAATCAAGATTTATTTGGCTTTTTGTTGATGATCACAGACACTATGAACAATTTTACAATTGTTTTTATTCACATAGTTTTTAAAATCTAAAAACTATAACTGTTTCTTTTTTTCCCTAAGACTGTTTCAAATATTTTTCATCTTTGTAGACAAACTGTCCTTTAAAACTGGATGTGAAGTTCCAGTATCTTGAATACTGACATAACAAGTTATGTCTGCCAAGCAGAAACATTTACTTAGTCAGTACTGAAAGGTATAATAAAAGCTTCCAATCTTTTGCATCACAGCCACAAAGTTGTTGGAAAAAATAAAGCTGCAACTACCAAAAATAACTTTGTCACAGATATACATCACTCAGCAAAAAATCCAACACTAGGGAGCAGTTTTATTAGATAAGCAATTCTACTGATGGTACAACCATAGATAAAGATAAATAACTACAATGTTAAGACATTCTCAACATGAATTCCAAAGTCTGATCTGTGTTATGCTTCATGTAATAGGATAGAAAAAACTGTCCCTCACAGTCTGTGGAACGTGAAGCCCAAGCAAGACTTCAAAGCCCTCTCCTTAATGGAACAAGCCATTAACTTCTGGTTTCATAGAAAACAGACAACCAGTACATGATTTTACCACTTTAAAAAAGCATTTACACTTTTATCTAAATATGTAAAAAAATGAGTTGAGCTGGGATTCTCTCCTTTTTAAAAATGTGTTTTCTAGAGCTACTAAAAAACCTGCATTTACAAAATAGTTGATAAAAATATTTCTCTGAATTGTACAAGAAGAAAGATATAAGGACCACCAATTAGAGACTTGGTACCAGATGTTACTCAGACTTGGCTTCTTTCTCTACTGCTGTCTCAGATGCTGCGGCCTGAAAAGAAGAGAACAAACCAGAACACTTCAATGTAGAATTTAAGTGACTCAGCCTCTTGATGCGTAGAATTTTTAATGCACATTAGCCAACTTGACATACAGAACAAACACGACTTGTTTCTACATACGATGCTTTACAGTTAGTGAACTGGTGTCATGATCTGTGTATTGCTCTTGGATAATGACCTAGTAAAACCAAGCTGTCTTGAAAAGGCTTCTAGCTCCTCAATGCATCAGTATGAATTTCAGAATGTTGCTCTTGTTACTATTCAATGCACACAGCAAAGTTGTTTTGTTTTTTTGGGTTTTTAAAATAATTTCAATAATTACTGCCATTATGACAGGAAAAGGGGGCTTTTTAACCTTACTAAGCTGTATATAGGGCGTTTAGAAAAGACACTATAAATACATTTCATATATCTTAATTTCAGTGGAACACATATTCTCCAATCTTGTCATGTTTTAAAATAACTAAGACAAAAAACAGCACTACATTAAATTAAACATAGTTTCATAAAAATACATTCAGTGAAACTGAACTGGGGCAACAGAGCTATACTGTTTTCACGTCAAGTCCCTATATGCTGTACCTCAACTTCAGAACAAGTTCATACAAACTTAATTGCTTAAAATTACAACTCTGAATTGGAAAGTCTGCTACCTTTGCAATGTAGGTTAAAAAAAGGAATGTCACACGTTTTAACATTAAAATAATACTCAATTATTCCAAAACTTTGCTTCAGCACCAGCAGAACAGACTCTTTAATCCCAGCAGTACCCATGCAGGAACCCTAATGTCCATTCTATCTTTACTGCCACCTGGGGGAATCTTTTGAAGGATGAAGCATGGAGGCCATTTCCACTTGCAGGCCTCTGTGCGTGTCACCAGAAGTTGTCACTGACCCCTCACCAGATCATGGATCAACAACAGCAACTACTGTCCCAACTGAAAACAGTAACGTCCACCAGGACAGACTACACCTCTGCCTCTTCTAGGCTTAAATATTATATTAAACCTGCAATTTTGGCTGCTGTGACCACTATGAGACCAGCATGAAGGTGTGCCCCAGAAGTGATACTCCATTCCTTGTAAATTTACTTCTCTGTGCTAGCATACTAAATAGACCTCAGTTGAGAACTACTGCCAAGTTTAACTCTCGCTGGTATTGCTGAAATACTACATGCACAAATTAGAAGACCAGATTATGCAGTAGTAATACAGTTCTTACAGCTGTCTAAGTTAAGCCAACTAAAGACTTCCTAGTTAGAGCACAACTTTTTCCACACAGATCACACTGTAAACAAATGAAAAACTGTTATCTCAAAGTTGTCTTGTACACTCAAGTACAACCCTGTACCTTCCTCACCCACAAAAAACCATCATCTACCTAAAATCCAAATACTTTCTTCCTCTACTTGAAGATCTATCTCCAGATTGTCAGTAGATCTCTGACAGATATAAATTCAAATATCATTTTTCTCTATCTTAAAAAAAATACTTTTTAATGCAACAACCAAACAGGAAGCATGAATCACACGTTTAAAGTATCACCTGTCTAATCAGCAAACTGCACTGAACTAATTGAAACGAGTGAGGTATTCAATACTGCAGAAACCCGAGACTAATTTTACGCTTGTTACCACATGAAAACTTGTGTTTCATCCAGTTGTTAACAGCTGTCCTAGTAAGAGGCACTGCTTCTCCCTACAGATCTTGTCCTAAATTTAAATCTAAATTAACATCCACATTCCAGAAAAAGAATACAGTGTGGAAGATGTTTTAAGTTAGATGATCAGTGACTCAGAAAACTTAAACATGACCATTTTAGCACAGTATTACAGCCAAGACTGATTTGGCAAGCTCATTTCTTCAGCAACAACTATTAGTAACTCCTGCACTTTCATCTCTGCACCAACCTGTCCCTTCTACCAGGAGTGGATCTATGACTCCTATAAATGTTCTCAATTTTTGGTTAAATCATTTCAACTTTGTATTTTCAGTGAAAAGTGCTTCCAGTCCCAAGAAAAATTAATACTGTGTTTGTCAAAACATTTCTGTAGCAAGAAAGAACCTCTTCCAGTAACAGCAAAGGCAGACTAAAACCCAAATCAAATGCTCCGAAGACAGACCTCCCCCCCGACACAGTCCCCTTGGTACACCCACTATGTATTATTTTGCCAAGACCTACCCCCTTCCACCCCTCTCTGAAGGATGTTAACATGTATTGGAACTTTGGTAAAATTCTCACCTTGTCTTTAATATCAGGGACTGTTATCACATCACTGCAACTCTTTTTGGGGCAACTAGAATTTTTCCGGTGTATGTACTAATGTTTCAATAGCCTGCATTTTTATTTTTGCAGAAACAGATTGTTATAAGAACAGCATACATTTCTGACAGATGCTTGGATAAGCCAGTACATTAACTTATCCAGCTGCTTAATACCAAAGAACACAGACAATGTTACCTCCTCATTTTTAGCTTCCCCATTTTCTGCAGGCAAGTTGTCCTTCGTTTGTTCTTGGTTTGTCTCTTCTGTCTGTTTTCCTTTAGGCCCCTTTTTCCCCTTTGATTGTGCTTTCTTGTCCTCAGACTTATCCTGCAATAAAGTAAGTTTCCAGTAAGTAAATTTCTAAGACCTACCAGGTAAACTTTGAAAATAATCAAGCCCACAAAAAACCAAGATGGACTTGCTAAAAAGCAAGAGCTACTATCATCAATCAATGAGCTAATACACAGTTCAACTGCCAAAAAAAGTTTCCCAAACTATACATGGACAAATAATCACAGTTTCAGATAGTCAGTGAAATGAGAGAAACACTCAGATGAGAACATAACTAGATTCTAGTAGCTAGAAAGAGCAATTTGTAGTGTACAATTTAACTTCATGGCACATAAAAAATTGCAATGCAGTCACTTCACACTCTGTAAATACAAAGCTCTTCACACACTTTTTTCCCCTCTTATATTGATAGGTGGGAATTCCAGTAACCTAACCTAAATAGATGCATCACCTAGAAGTATAATTTTCAGTGCTCCTTTGTTAGCATCTCAGTCACATCCTCTGTACCTGCATGACTGTTGTTAACTGGGTAGGGAAGAAGTGTTTGTTCAAGAGCTATTTTAATGTAAATACATAATACATCCTCCCAAACATTCCTTACAGCAAGACAACTCCACAGTTTGCTTGTTCTCCAGCTGATCCCCCTACTTACAAAATATTTCTATCAATTCAGAATTACATAAATGCACTGTTTTTAACACCATCTGTCAAATGTTACTTAAGTATACTAACAAAAATTTTCATTAAATGACAAGCTAACACTTTTTTTCTGGGCAGGTACAATGCAAATAAATAACAAGGGAACATAATGCATTTATACCTCTAGGAAGAAAAGCACTACACTGATCTACTTTAAAATGTGCCTAATCTCATTAAAAATATTGTGTGCATTTCCTAAGTATGTTCTTCAAATTATGTCCTAATTAGTTGTCTCTGACCTAAAATTCACTCCAAGAAACAAAGTTCTCATTTTTGCGTATTTTAAGTACTGTAGAAATGCTTATATCTGATTACTATTAGGAACCATTTGATCAGAGGTGTTCCACCCTATCACTCCAAGCATTCTTCCTTTCAAAAAACATGCAGCCACCTTACTTCACACATGCAACTTTTTAATAGCTATCTGAATACACTTCCTATTTTACATGAATGCTTGTGTAAAATACTGTCTTAATGAAAATATGATTTTGTCAAACAATTACAACTATTGAGCAAAAGTTTTAAGTGTTTTACACCACTGAATACAAACATGCAATAAGCTGCATTATACATACAAGATATGCAAGGTAAAAAAAAAAATAAAAAATCAGTGCTGAAGCATCTTGTGCCAGGTAAGCTAAATTGCCAGTGTCCACAAAACTTCAGAAATACTTTGTTCCTATTTTCAGAAAAGACCTTATTTTTTAAATCCTCACGAGCATAGAGAAAACAGCTGAAACTAAGTAACAGAAAAAACCCTTAAAAAAAGTTAAAGGCTAAACTCAGTGTTACAAATGCAGGTAATGGACAATTTCACATGTAGCCTTCTGTGTTTTGACTGTCAAAATGTATTTCTCTTCATTAATATTTATTTAAAGAAAACCACCATGTAACTCTATAATGAGTAAAGCTTCTTCCAACCAGAAAATCCACTGTCAGGAGAGTTTTAAAAGTTTACAAACTGATGCAAAGAAGCATGTTTTGATGATCAAATACAGGAAAAAAAAGACAATCAGAAGAGATTTTTTACATTAACAATGAAAAAGTTTCAAAATGACAAAACATAGTAGCGACAGCATGAGCTTTAGAACAAAGACAATAAAATATTAAAAGAGTGACATGTTTATTTGAATGGCCAATTATACCACCAATAAAAAATAAAATTGTTCACATTCACATTACAGCTACATTCCATTTCCTGGGGCGCAATGTGTTCTACTCAGTATTCTAAGATGACAAGTGTCTGTGATGTACTAAAGTTCACATAAATACGCTCCCAGATATGACCTGTGGAAATGCTTGTTTCTAGAAGTAGTTATTGGCAGCAAGTCAGTATCATGCATATCAGTCAGCATCAACTAGCAGCATAAAGAATTAGATGCAGCACACAGACACTAGAAAAAAAGAACATCAGAACTGAAGTAAAATTGGAAAACTTCCTCAAGTTCTTTAGCCTTACAACTTGGGAGAATGGGCACGCACTGATATTGAAACCATTGGAATGAAGATGCATTACTGGTAAGTAACTGTTCAGTAGGTTTAATAAAATTAAAACATCAAAAAGTCTGCAAAGTAGAGTTCGGTATTCGTGTATTTGAAATGCTCTTAATCCATGCATTAAAAAGCTTAAAATTACAAAGGAACACTTAGAAATGCATATACCAATAAGCCAACTAAGCCTTTTTTATTTTTCCCAAGAAACAAATAATTTTACTCCTCAGCTATTGCACTGTGCAGGCTATACTGAAAAACAGGAAGACTATACTAAGCCACTCTTACCTACACATACACAGAGACCTAGAAGCTAGATTACTTGAATGGAAACTCAGATCTTTTTCAGTGGCTAAGTAACAGATACTTTTTTTTTTCCATCCCATCACACTGCTTTAAACGGTGAGTATATTTTATCCTCTTTTGTTAGACGATGAAATACAATCCTACATACAGTTGCTTTAGCATTTAAGTAGTTCTGCTCAGTACCAAACTACCTCTTAGCACCCACGAATCAGCGCCCACACTTCTACACTTCGGAGCGCATAACAGGGCTCTGACCAAACAGTGGTGTAACACACCCGTAAATACTGGCGCAAACACCCCAAAATGATACTTCGCCTAAAAGAGCGTTCCCACAAGGAATGTATAAAGACGAGTAAAAACGTTCAGACACCGTGCACCGACGACATGAAATGAGATGCCACTAAGCCCCCACACAACGAACCGGACCACCTCCTCTCCCTCCCCTCTTCCCAGTGCCTCTCACCTTTGCCGCTAACTTTTTTGGTTTCGGCTCTGCTTTGGCGGGCGCAGGTTTCTGAGAAGAAAGAACAAGTTAAGCGGCGATACAGCCCTCGGCAATTCCCTTGAAGGCCCCCCCCCTCCCCGCCCGGCAGAACACCCTCCTC